GCAGGGAAAAAAAGACAAAAAGTTTATCTCCCTAACCCTACACTCTGCCCCACCCTCATATTTCCACCCAAGAGATTCAATTATAGTTCCCATGAAGTTCCTAAGTGGCAGCATGTGTCGAATAAGGCAAACTCTGAAATATACTATGTCCAAAAATGAAGCACAAATGGTGTTAATTTTTATGACAACCTTAGGCTTCCCATAGTGAAATTCGATGCTCCCAGTTCTCCCAGATCTGCTGGCTCCCTTGGGCTCCTCACAGTGCTCTTACTAGGCGGTAAGTATGACATAGGCAGAGTTATGGATTTTCATGTCGAAGATTATTACTATGAGTAAAAGCGATGAAGAAATATAATTAACAAATGTGCAGAATTTGTGGCCTTGAACTTCACAGCTCAGTGACAAGCCTGTGATTCTTAGCAAAAAGAGTTTAATAAAAATCCATTCGAGGCCCTCCCTGGTGGCGCAGTGGGTTAAAGCACAGCACTGGGAATCTAAAGCCACTTCCGCATGAGTTCGATTCCTGCCTGCCCCGGAGGTGACCACATGGCGTGGCAGACCTCTCCTGACCCGCCCGCTGCTCCCCTCAGCAGGGTACTTCGTCGATCTGCCTGTTCTGTTCCCCACTCTGTCTCTGGTGAAGCCTCTCACCGCCCCTGAGCCTCTGGCCTGTACCCCAGTTCTGTATGCACAAATAAATAAATCTTTTAAAAAAAAAAAAATCCATTCGAGGAACAGCTTCTTGAATGAACAGAGAGTAGGTTCATGAAGTTACTCGGATCTCTGTAATTAAAATCCTCACCATTAGGACTTTGAGCAGCATTGTATGCACACTATATGAAGAAATTCTCAGTCAGTCGACTTTACTAATCCATAGGGTATATAGAGCCCAGAGAATAAGAAAAAAATGTAGCTCCTATTCCTGTCAGACAGCAATAACAGCTAGTAAGAAGCAAATTCTAGATGCAGACATGTTAATATTAAACTAATATACATTTCATGTGGTTAATGCCAATAGTAGTGACTCTAAATACAGTGGCAATAGGACATACTAGTTACTTTTAACAGGATTAAATACTTGATCTCTTAAAGTCAATATGCAAATGACTTAACATACTAAACATACTAAACAGATAAATATTTTGATGGAAGTTTCTAACACCTAAGAAAACAGACAACTTGGATTCTTTTTAAAGTTACCAAGTGACTGACTATTCTATTACCCTTGTATTTTTATTTCAAATTATTTTCTTATTAAAAAGCAAACTAGCCAAAATTCCACAAGCTACAATGTACTCGCCCTATCAGTTATTATCTCACAGTTATTATTAATATCTTTCATAATTACACAAGAGTAGCTCTAGTGGAAGAGTTACATTGGAAGTAAAGATAAAGGTGGGCAGAACATGTTTAATAATCTAGTATTCCAAGACAAATTCTCTGGATTAATATCTTGTATATAAATATCACACTGTTTCTTCCAGATCTGTCAGGGTGGGCATATAAATCCATAGCATTTACCACTAGCACAATTATTTCTGATATGGCTGGTTCTATTTCAATGAGTGACTTTGAAATCCATTTGGGTTCTAATTTACTAATAGCAAAACTTGGTAAGAAAGATTTGGAAATGAAAAACAATGCTTAGCATGCCGTTTGGTGAAAGGAGAGCAGAGAAAAAGAAGAGTAACTTGAGGCAGGTTTTCATCTGAATTTTTCCTAAATCTTTTCTTGGGGCCTGGATAAAATGAAGATGGCAATTACACTAGACACCACAAAATGTGAGTATTGCCCTTTGAGGCCCTCAGTGAAGCCTGTGCTATATAACTGCAATGTCCTAGGTCTAGGATATTCAAAGAAAAATAAATCCCAGTTCTATCTTATAGAGATGCAAAACAGATGAAAACACAGTGCATTTCCTCTCTACAAAAAAATGAAAGTCCATCTAATGCAAAGTCAGACATTTCCATTAACAAATGTGAATAGTAAATACAGAAACCATTTTCTTTGTAAGACCTGATTTGTGGTTATTTTCATTATAGAAGTCACATCTAACACTCAGACCAGTACTTTAGCTAACGTGCCACCGCTTGTGTAAACCAACTAATGTTCGGAACATGATTTAATAATCTGTAAAATGGACATAATTTCTTTTTCATCCAGTTTAGATCATTGTGAGACTTCAGTAAGGCTGTATAGGAATTGCCATATATTCATTAGGTCATGGGGTCTCTCTGGTGGGGCAAGTCTTAGCACTATGAAGCTATCCACAGCCACTGCAGCACCAGTTTGATCCATGACCAGGGAGCTGACCCACACAGCACAGCAGACCTCTTTTGTCTCCTGTGCTGCCCCCTTAGTAGATCCTCCTGCTCTGCTCCCCTCTCTAACTCTGGTGAATCTTCTCACCCTGCACCTCTGCCCACACCCATTTCTATATGCATCAAATAAATCTTTAAAAAGATATATATATTCAGGCCCTCCCTGTGGCGCAGCAGGTTAAAGCACAGCACTGAGAATCTAAAGCCGCTTCCACATGAGTTCGATCTCCGCCTGCCCCGGAGGTGACCACATGGCCGGCAGACCTCTCCTGACCCGCCCGCTGCTCCCCAGCAGTGTACTTCGTCAATCTGCCTGTTCTGTTCCCCACTCTGTCTCTGGTGAAGCCTCTCGCCGCCCCTGAGCCTCTGGCCTGTACCCCAGTTCTGTATGTACAAATAAATAAATCTTTAAAAAAAAAAAGATATATATATTCATTAGGTCTTGAACAGGAATCTCACCATGTGCTATGAAGCAGGAGGCCAATCATGGTTCCTGAATCTTGTCCAAAATTTTCAGGCTCCAATTTGAGTTCAGTTGTCATTTGTGAATATTAAAATAGAGATCCTGTTTAAATGAAGTCAGGAGGTTAGAAAGACCATGTTCGTGCAAACTATAGGACCCAATACACCCTGCATCTCCCATGGGAGGTGGTGCTGCTTTCTCCTAACGGAACAGAGGTGGAAGCCTCTAGAGATTATAGAAGGAAATAGCCTTGGATTTGGTTAAGTGCAGTGCAGGAACACATTCTCCTATCTGCCTTCTTTTCCGTTGTTTTGTTTCTGAATAAACCTTTTTTTTTTTTAAATTGAATATCTGGCTATTAATTTGAGGTTCCTACTTAGCTTTCCCTCTGCAATGCATTAACAGGTCATCCAACATCCCATCACCCCGTTCTTTCCTCCTAATGAGTCTTCTTCCCTAGCTAACTTTAGGCTTCCTTAATGATATGTGTAATAAATATTCAATGCAGAGTGTGGGTAATAATATGATTTACATTTTTTTCCTAAGTAGATTAATGCATAATAATTGTAGAAGGTTGGGACTAGTCAGATAAAACATCATGTGCTTGCCTGAATTTGGAGTCAGATGTCCTAAATTCTACACCTGGCTTGGTTCTTCTCACTGCAAAAGTCTATTCCCACCTCCAGGGTGCTGATCGAAAATGTTGAAGTTTGTACCAAACAACACTCATATCAGAATCCTGCTTACTGCTTTTTAGGATTGGAATTCGGAAGACCCACCACCTATGTCCAGTGGCCGAACCACAACACCCTGGATAGTGCCTGGGAAAGTTTTTAAAAACTCTTCAGGTGATTCTCAGGCAGACCAACGTTTTAGATGCTCTGCTCCAGATTCGACACCACTTATAAGAGCGGCAGGAAGGCAGTGGTCTGGCTTTCAGCTCAGGCCTAGATGAGAACTTTTTGGAAATGAAGAACCTCCTCTTAGGGCCCAAACTACGAATCCGAATCTGTATTTTAATAAAATCCCCTTGAGCTTCTATTTCATGTTAGATTTGGAAAACTCTGAAGTATCTAGGTTATCACCTGGGACACTTTACGATCTCCTGATACTTGGGCCCCACCCAGATTAGCAGTACCTATCTGGATTCTGGAGTGCGACCTGGGCAAAGGGCATTTACAAGCCTCCCAAGTTATTTTAACACACAGCCAAGGTACAGAACTATCGTCCCCTAAAATCACAGCCCTTTCAGGTTAAGTTATAATCTGAGTTAAACTGGTTTTTGTGGGCTTGCCCAGCGCCCTAAGGTCGACTTGGAGTAAACAGTGATTTTTAAGGAACAATGGACTCGAGACAAACAAGTTCAACTACACTGCTTTAGATTCGCAAACCCCGAGGCGCAAGACTTCCTGTACCTTCCCTCCAGCAGCAGGGCGCAAAGCCGGAGCCGGCCTGGGGGGCCCCACCCGGCCCCGCCCGGCTCCCCCCTCGTTGCCCCTCCCTCTCCCGTGACGTGCCGCAGCGGGCCGGGATCATGCGCACTCGCGCCCCGCGCCCCGCGCTGCTGCTCCGCCTCGGCGCTTGTCATTCTCCGCGGCACGGCGGCGAGTGCGGACTGCGGTGCCTGTGCGCTCACTCCCCCGTCGGCGCGCCGGCGATGTACCGACCGCCTGCGAGCGGGCTCACGGCTCTGCCGGCGACAGTGCCTCGGCTTTTCTCGGGCCCGACTCCTAGCTGAGCGCCGATCCCTTCGGTGCCGGAGACACTCACCGGGGGCTCGGAGCGCCGCACTCCGGGACCCGCGGCAGCTGCAGCGTTCGCGTTCGCGCGGCTGGGTGCAGTGTTATCGCCGCCGCCGCCGGGCGGTGCGCCCTGGCAAGTGCCAGGCACGGAGCACGGCGGAGCCCAGGCTGCTGGTGCAGAGCGGCAGAGCCTCACTAGGCACCGGCCGCTGCCACCCGGGCAGTGTGGGGCCAGACTGGCTGCGCGCTGCCGGAGCGCGTTCTCCGAAGAAGGCTCCCTGCCTCCCGCGCCCCAGTAAGTTGACTGTAGTTTCTGAAGTTAGAGGGAACCGTGGGAAGGGGACATGCGTTTTTATTATCATCCTGTTGTGGAAAGCTGGGGGTGGCACTTGTTGTTAGCTGGACTCCAGCTCTGGGGAGTTCAGCGGGCGAGAAGCGGGCACACAGGCGGGGAGAGGCTGCACCTTGGGCGGGTGAGCTCTGGCCTCTGTCGCATGTGCCAATTGGAAATGTGCAGTGAGAGGACAGGTGCTCCCAGGGCATTTCGCCTGCTGCTGCTAATGCACATTCTGTGAGCTCTTTGACTCTTGACTGTGGTCATGGTGGGGTGTGCGTGTACGGGGGCTGGGGAGGCAGGGTCTTCTCACTTCTGTCCTAAGTTCTTAGGGCAATGACTCCAGTGATTTTCCTGGATTCAGTAGTAGCTTTTGGGGATGAGAACTGAGCTTTTCTTACCCAGGTCTCCAAGCTTCCCGCGAATCCCAATTTACTTCTCTCCTAGGCAGAAGTTGCCAACGTTTCCATAATTGGAGCCCAGTCCTTTAAGGAAAAATTATATATATATATATTTACATGTTAACCCAGTGTTTTGTTATAAAGCAAATAAAATGAGAACTCTGCACTGTGTACCTGATTTCATACCCTGTAAAAATGTGGGTAAGTCTCAGAGAAATCCGATTAAGATGACATTTGGGTTTCGCCCTGATTGTCCTGCATGTCTTATGTAAGCCTCCCGGAGGATAACTCTGTCTTTCTGCAGTGGATGCAGCTGTGACTCTCCATTCCATTTGTTTAAGGTCCAGCTTGAACAGTAGTTAATGAAAATGCTGACATGATATAGCGGCCTGTAGTCTGAAACAGAGTGCACTCTTCAAATTGGAGTGTCTTCTAATAGGGAACACATGAGGAAAAACCCAGTGTATTTTTCAAGGCAGCTCCAGGAATTAGACACATAAATCATGTTTTAAAATAGCATGCATTGTGCCAGGAGCTTGTAGAGGACCCCTTTTGAACACATCCTCTTTGTTTTAGAAAAAGTGGAAATTGTTCGTGCCAGAAAATTGTTGAGTCTAAAAGTTATGTGCACTGATGGACTTAATTATCTTAATAAACAAACAGCATAATTTATAGGTAGCTACCCTGTCCTACTTTGAAGGATAGAATTCTTTAACCTTTCTTTCTCATTTGTCTCCAGAGATTCCTTTTAAGCAGAGCTAGAGATTAATATCATCTTTGATGTTCAATAGTTGATTAAATTTGTAAAAGGAACACTTTGAAATACCATATAGTTATAGAAGAGTGAAAATTAGAAATAAGGAGCTTTATAGATTATTTGGTATAGAAGTCATTAGTTTAACAAAACAGATAACATTGACTGCCCTTATATAAACATATGTATGTGTGTGTGTTTAACTTGGACTTGTAATAATTGTTTAAACCACAATTTGTAATAATTGTTTCAGCCACAATTGTCTAAATTCCCAAGGTTGGTATGTATTTTAATGTAAGATTATTTGGGTAATCTTTAGAGAGAGAAATGCATTTTCTTCTCAGTATTCCAGCACATGGAACCAGTTATAAACACCTCATTAAAAATTCTCAAGAAATATATGCAGTGTTACTTTAAAAGTTGAAAAGTTAATCAAACATACTGAAGTTGATGAAAGCATCCATTGCTTATTTTTTTTTTTAAAGATTGATTTATTTATTCATACAGAACTGGGGTACAGGACATAGGTGCAGGGGCGGTGAGAGTATTCACCAGAGACAGCGTGGGGAGCAGAACAGGCAGATCAACGAAGCACACTGCTGAGGGGAGCAGCGGATGGGTTAGGAGAGGTCTGCTGTGCCATGTGGTCACCTCCTGAGCAGGAATCAAACTCATGCTGAAGTGGCTTTAGCTTCTTAGTGCTGTGCTTTAACCCGCTGCACCACCAGGGAGGGCCCCATTGCTTATTTCTAAACAAGATTCCATCAAAGCATGGCATCTCGAACAGGCTTGCCCCAAAATATTGTTGCATCTTGGTTAGGAGGACAGACTTGGTAGCCAGGCTGACACCACTGTACTGTTTGAATTGGGGCCTCTTACTTAAACTCTGCACTTCAGTCTCTTCATCTGTGAAATGGAACAACAGTAGCAACTACCTCATTGATTGTGTTGATGATTAAATGAGTTCATAGATACTAAGCTGTTGAATCCATGTCTAGCTGATTAAATTGGGTGAAATTATCATTGTTATGAAAAGAGATGTATCTTTGAATATGAGGAACTTTGGATGGCAGCTGACAGGTGAGCAGAAGAGGTTCGTGTGTGTGGAAGGAGGGGTAAGTCCATTTATTGAACATCTCCTAGGGATGCAGACACCAGCTGATGTTTGACTTACTCTCTTCCTCAATTTCCCACTGAAGTCAGTGGCTCCAGCTCCACTTTGGAGTTAAAGAAACTGAAATTCAGGGAGATCAAATCATAGAAAGCACAGTTGGAATTTTAACCCATGTCAGTCTGTTTCAAACACTGGTTGTTTTTTTTTTTTAAGATTTATTTATTTATGCATACAGTACAGGCCAGAGGTGCAGGGGCAGTGAGAGGATTCACCAGAGACAGAGTGGGGAGCAGACTAGGCCGACGGACGAAGTACACTTCTGAGGGGAGCAACGGGCAGGGCAGTAGAGGTCTGTGGCACCATGTGGGTCAGATCTGGGGCGGGGATCGAACTCATGTTGAAGTGGCTTTAACTTCTTAGTGCTATGCTTTAAGTTTCTGCGCCACCAGGGATGGCCTCAAGCACTGTTATTTTTGATCCTGTTGCCTCAACTTGCCAAGTTTTTTTTTCACTTTGTTTTCTCCTTTAATCCTCATAATAACATCATGAAATAGGTGCACTATTATCCTTAATTTATAGGTGAGAAATTTTAAATTAAGCATTTAAGTATGCATAGTGCTTGATAACACACCATCCTTCACCATGACTGGGAGCTAGCCGTTATTATCATAATTATTGTTAAATAACTTGTTTACCTTAGATTGCCACACAGGTGCCGGCAGGTGAATTGTGCCCTTCAATTTGAAGTGGATTCCGTTGCTTTTTACTTCCCTCCTCATATATCAGAGAGTTCAGGAACAAACACTGACATGATCTTACAGTTCACGGTGAAGGACAGGGCTCCCTGTTTGCTTCCTGCCTGCAGAAGTAGCTGCAGCCATCCACACACAGCCTCACAAACCACCAAGAGCAGCAGTGAAAGACCCTCAGCCAGCCACCATCCCTGCTCATGAGCTCAGTCCCAGCCCACAACTCTTCCGGGGTGGGGAGCTGGCACTTGTCCCACACTATACTACATATTCAGAAAGGGAAATAACTTGCACCTCACCCGAAAAATGCATGCCTCTAGAGCTCAGAGCTGTCATGAGAAGCAGTTTCAGGGATCTTGGGAGAGCAATACTGTGTTAAGTCTCTAGAGCCTTTAAATGTCTCACCTGACTTCTAGAGCTCGGTAACGATTGAGAGGCCACGGATTTTTTTGTGTGACTTTCTTAGGTTATTACCCAGACACTACATAGTGTCCTGGTCCTTGGTAAATATTTGCTGTTTTCTAGATATTAAAATAGAATTGCTGTATGAGGCACAGAGGCAGCAGACTGCTCACAGACTGAATTAATATTTAAACCTCTTAGATTGTTTATCCCACCATTGAAATTTATTTCAACAGAGGTATCATAAGCCAACTTTCTTTTTTGAAAAATCAAAGTTATCTGTATAGTAGGGTAGGTAGAATATGTGAGAGAGTATTCTATTTTGTGAAATAAGATGAACACCTGAAAGTGCATAATGTTATGATGCAATGCTATTTCAATAAGGACCCCCACACCTCTGGCCTATACCCCAGTACTTCTGTGCATAAGTAAATAAAATAAATCTTTAAAAGAATTGTTTTTTAAAAGTTGCTAAATGAAATCTTAAAGGTTCTCATAGCAAGAAAAAAAATAATTGTTGGAAACAGGTGTTCACTAGACTTCTTGTGATCATTTTGCAAGATAAACAAATATGCATTATGCTGTGTACTTGACATCAACGTAATATGTCAATTATATCTCAATAAAAAATGTCAAATCAAAACTCTGAAGGTGAACATTCCAGTAGGGTGGCTCAGCGTGCTTGGGGGCATAGTACCACAGTGTGGCTAATACTTGTCATCAGCTGAGTCCCTGTCCCTAGAAAGTACCTCCTACTTCAATTTTAGTCCTCCTTTTCAGAGTACAGATATTCCCTTTTACTCACCATGTACTTCTGTGTCAAATACTCCTCATATTTCTCATTCAGTTTTGTGACTTGAATTGGGTCATGATAAATTTTTAACTGACTCTTCAGATTTACATATAGTTTTATTTAGTCATTTTATTTTAGCTGTAGATTGACTTCATTGTGGTCATTTCTAACAAAAAATGTAAAGCTAATTTTAATATGGATTAAAGTGAAAGAAAATCATTTACTCTTCCAGCGATACCTACTTGTTTTGAATTCAATTCACTTTGGATGCGGAGAGTTGATTATATTTCTACACCACTTGCCTCATGTATCTGTGAGATAGGTGCCGAGAGTTTATTCAGATTTTAGCTTGTATAAGCCAACAGTTCATATGTAGCACGACAGGGCTGGATGCTAACTTCAAGGGCATGATTTGGGTTCAAGGGAATGATAGCTCTGAGCACTTCCCCCTTCTTGATTTTCTAGGCCTACACAATTTTCAAACCTGTCAATAATTAAAAAGTTAAAGACATTCCAATTTCTAAATGTAGACTACTGCAGAGAATGCGAAAACTTGGCCTGAACAGGAGCCTTCACTGAACATAGAGAACATTTGTAGCCCTTACTGGCTGTTTCTTCTGGCTAAGTCCTAGCATGAATGACTAACACACTGACCATGTTCCCTACTAACCTTCTATAAAGCATTTACTGTAACCTTCACAGTGATCTTATGTAGTAGTCACTTTATTAGAAGTGGTAACTGGTGTGA